TTCTTAATTTTTTGTTTTTTTGTTTTTTGATTCGGTGATTATTTTTTCCGCTCGCTTGCATCTTTGTGGTATAAACACGAGGCCACTGCCCGCGAGCGACTGACTCATCTTGCATGAACGCGCTGCTCGCGGACGCGGCACTTTCAAGAGAAAAGTGGAGCACCGACCCCGACCGACGAAATCCATCTCTCTTTCTCTCTCAATCTCTTTTTTTTTTTTTTTTCTTTTTTTCAATTGTCTTCAACTTTTGCCTGACTTGTCTGGATGGTCCGAGCAATTGCGTAAAATAACCACAAAAAGGAAGAAGAGAGAGAGGGGGGGGGGGGGAGATTGAATAAGGACGTTTTGCGCCAGATCCGGCAAAATACTTCACGGATCTTATTTTTTACTCTTTTTTTCATATCTTTATTTCATTCTTTAGTTATATTACACTAGGCCGGATTTAGCAGACGCATAAATCTTAACTTTGTTATGCTACTCTTTTCAAATAAAAAAAACACCCTCATTCCTTTTTGTTCTTTTCTTATAACACACAATTTTATTAAAATTAATGTTCCATACTACAAATTTGAGTATGAAATATATTTTGCTTCCTCATGAGGAAGTATATATTGTAATACCAAAATTTTTTAAATTCGATTCTTTGATATAACTTTTATGTTATTTGATCTCAGAAATTCAAAACTGAATTTTTAAAAAAATATCATTCCGTATGTGTATGTGTGTAAAAATTATATTTTCATAAATATCTCGAGATTATGAAGAGCTTTGGGGATGAATTTTTTGAAATTGTAGGTCTCAAGTGGGGAGATAAAATGAGAGTACTTTGAGATAGTTTAATAAAGTTCAACTATATTTTTTTTTGAATTTTTAATTTTGAAAAAAAACGTTTTTTGCCCATAACTTTAAAAAAAATGTTAGGACACCTATCAATATTTTTTCATAATTTTGTAGAGTTTTTTTAGACGCTTGAGCCCTAATTAAACATTTTTCGTTCATATTAACCAGAGATATTAAACTTTTAAAAATCAAGAATTTTGGAAAATATTATTTTTTTGGTTTTTTATTTTGAACTATGGCGAAAATCTAGAAAACTATGGAAAAAAAAACAAAAATCTTTATAAACATGAAATTTTTTTTAATTTTTAACAAAGTTGCGAACTATTGTCGATGCGGCGGAAATAGTTTAAAACCTAAAAATTTTTATAATTTGACCGTTTCCAAAAAATATTGGAAAACCATGGCCAAAGGCAAAAATGGTTTTGGGCCACAAAAATGTGGATATATATGGTAAAAGTTTATAAATTTTCAGGTTTTAAACTATTTTTATCATTAAGTTGTTAGAAATATATCATTTCATAGTTTATTAATGTTGATAATGTATATGATCTTGGGAAGGTAAGATTTGAATAAAAATTCAAAAGTGTGTGTCGTTAAAAGAGCGACGTTTCGTTGGCTAGGGTTTCCCAACCTCATCAGGCTAAAATTTTATTAAATAGATAGGTTACACTTCAGTATTTTTTTTATAAAGGTCTAAAAGCACTATTTCTATAAATTAACAATAATGATATACCTAAATTTTGTTAGAACATCGAACACATGCTAACACGTCAAAGATTAAAATTTTGTCAAAATATAATAAAAAATCATTCCACACTTATAAGAATAAAATTTAATATAGAGAGAAGCAATTCTCAAACAGCGATTCACTGTCAACTGAAAGGAAATTTATTCATCTTACAAAGTCAAACCAGCAAACACGTGAGAGACATTGGACATTGTCAAAAATTTTAAGGATTTTTAAATATTTCTGTCAATGGCCAGGTTAATTTATTTAGTTTTTTTTTGTAGGTTAGGTTTAATTTTTAAGGTTAGGTTTGTTTATTCTGGTCCAAATTAAGTTTGTTTAGTTTTTCCAGGTTATAGGTTTGTTTATTCTCGTACAGATTAAGTTTGTTTAGTTTTTCCAAGTTAGGTATGTTTAGTTTCTCTAAGTTAGGTTTCTTTAAGTTTGCCAATGTTAGGGGTCCGTTGATAAATTACGATCATGATCATGATCTAGACGATCTATCACCCACATGATACATATCCCTCAATTTCTAGGTGGCCTTTTGTTTACCAACAATGCCTCATCAGAGACATAAGTTCGACGAGCAGTCGATCTTTCTAGAAGGTTTTTTTTCAAGTGATGAAAAGAATGGCAGAGAAAAAAGGATAGTGAGAGAGAGAGAGAGTGGGAACCGAAGGGGAACAGTGGGATGGCGTAATAAATTCGGCAGGTGGCAAAGATGAAAGTAGATGCGAGCAACAGCGGGTTGTTCGGTAGCCCGTGAAAAATTTGGGCAATAGAGAGTTTTATCCCAAAAGGGATTTCTAAGTAGCCGCGGCGCGAATTTGCTGGAAAGAGCCAGAGAGTTGAGCGGTAACAGCAGAAGAATAAAGTGAGCAAAGGTAGCCGAAAGTTTTCAAGTCGGCTTCAAAATAGGGGGGTTTCATCCTGGAGGGATAACACACACCCCCTCCCCATCTCCCTCCCCCACCACTCGCTCGAAAGTCTTCTTCAGGTCTCTAGCGGCCTTACCTGACTTCAGGCCCCAAGAACCGGCCTCTTCCCCTTCTCCCCCTGTGCCCCCCTTCCATTCTAACAAGTGCGCGCGTCTCAATCGTCTTTTGACGTTGATAGCTTCATTCGCAAGCCAGGAAATGAAAAAAAAAAAAAAAGAAATAGATTTTGCCATGTAACGTTACGCGTATAGATCCCCTCGCATCAGGAAGCTCTTTTATAACAAGGTCAAGGATAAGGTCGCTCTTTTTTTTCCTTCATCATCCAAACTGCTACTGAAAATTTTTCACCTTTGCTAATCTATTAATTATTAATATTATTAACTATAGATTAGTAATTTGCTAGTTTTTTGCTTAAATAAGACGAGAGGGAGAGATTTTTCTTTTCTTTTCTTAGAAGTTATGTTCAGAGGAAACGAGAGACACTTAAACTGAACGATCAGAGTAGGAGGCCAGGAGGAGAGCAGAGGGGTTCTCTCCTTTCCCGTAAGTAGTCGTGGGTCTTATGGGGTTTCTCGAGGTGGGTAGTATCTACATATTACAACCTCGTGAGTGGGACCACCTTCGTTGACATAAGATCCTGTTATGCTGTCTGCTATCTGAACGCAGTCAGACTTTCGCGCATAAAATACATTAAAAGGACGAAAAACATTTTTAGAGGACGAATATTGCCATTGCCGCGGCATCAAAATAATAATCCTCGCAAAACAAGAAACTTTGCGCGATAATCAACATATAAATATTCTCCCTGTGCGAGATGCATCATGAAGAATCAAGATTTTTCATCTCGTCATGATTTTACTTACTAGAACTTTTTCTGAAACTTATAGAAAACAAAAAATTTTCTCAAACATCAGTATTTTCTTGAGAAAATTTTTTGTTGGTTTTTATGTATTTTTGAAATATTCTTTGCAATAAAGAAGGTGTGTGAGTATTTGTTAAGAGGTTGTTTGTACTTTGATAGTTGAGTAAACAAGGAATACGATCGAGTAAATCGATTATGATGATCGATTAGGCAAGGAGGACAAGTTTTTTTTTGCGCATCTACTTGATGAGAGAGAGAGAGTGCTAAAGTTCCGGCAGCGTATCAGCAAAAATTGGCAAAAAAGTTTCCTCTTAGGATGGGTGATACGAGCTTTGTGTGTGACATGTGGTGAACGGGATATACAGGGGCCTTCCACTCTTGCGGTATAAGGTTACCCGTGCTTCTTATATACACTCGAAACTCGCAAAAGTTAATTGGTTGGAAAAACCCTCGCTATCCGATACTCTGCTACCGCTCCGCGATACGTGAGCGCATAATTCAGATTTTCATAAAAAAAAAAAATCTCTTCAATTCAATTCATTTTCCATTATTCCGTTTACTTCCTTTTAGTTCCGTTATAAATACCCTATAAGATAGTTATAATAGTTTAATAGTTAAAGAAAAGTTTTCAAACATAAAAGTTAAGAAACTGTGATTCTCCACAAGGTTTTTAAAATAGGTCTTTGGCCATAGTGTGTCTTTGGCCATAGTTAGCTAGCTAAAAATTTGTCATTTTTCCATTTCCACGCGGGAATCAAGTATAAAATTAATCCCATTACCTATATTGTGAGTACAACAATCGCAGATCCATTTATAAAAAAAAATCCAAGACACAATATACGAACACTTTTTTAAATCTTAAGGGGATCAAAGAATTGTGTCTCCGTTTCTATTCTCGCTTTTTTCCTTGAGAGCTAAAGAGATACTTACGGGTACTTACGGGTGGTCTAAGGAGCATATTGTCAGAGTGACCCCACCATATAGTTATTGTGCAACGGCAATGTTACTCTCCTCATTTCTTTCCTTTCTCCTTTCCATCTTTATCTTTCATCATATATACACACTCTTTCGAAGAAGAAGAATACACACTCTTTGGCTCTCGTCTTTTAATACCTTGGATGATCGCGTGTCTACCAGAATTGTATGACTCTCTTTCCAAAGTGAGAGAGAGAGAGAGAGAAAGAGAGCTCCACAACATTGGCTCCATGAACCCCATAAAACAACCTCTAATAAAATAATAATGAAAGATGCCAGTGGGAGATTAAGAGATTGCTCGATACTTATGATCCTGTTGTATATAGAAGGTGAATTGTTTCTGCAAACTAATGCTCGTATACTCGTCCCTCATTATCCATGATGCTGTTTGACCTGGTCATTAAATAAGGGCCCTTTTAATGCTCCGCTTTTATGTTCAGGTCCTTGTTTAAATATATACACACACATATTATAGAATCTATATTAAAGAATACATGTATTAATCCCCTATTTGATTTTTGTTTTTCGGGAACCTGATGATCATCATTTATCATTAGTTATCAATGTTTGTAATGATAATATGTATACCCATGTTTTTATTAGGTACGAATTGTAAATTCGCTTTTTTGGAATATTCATTTGGTTCTCTTAATTTCAGGGCAAGGCGGAAGGTGAAAAATCGAAAATTTGGTTCCGGGCTTACTTTCAAAAGGAGCTGAGTCAGCTGGGTAGGTTCGAGCACAAGCATGCGGGCAAGGTCATTTTTGTCGCGATTGTGGCGCTGACAGTTTTCTTTGTGGGCATTAAATCCAGCCAGATTCACCACAAGGTCGAGCAACTATGGATACCACGTAAGTGTTCGAGAATAGCTTTTTAATCTTGTCGTTATAAACAACTTCTTTTTCTCTCATTCCTTTTTGCTGCGCTCCTTTAGTTCGTACACAAAATCCTTTCACCTTTCTATTAAAATTCCTTCGTCCTTAAAATCATTAGACTTTTCGTTGCCAACGAAAAGTTGACATTTTCATCATCGATAGCAGTTCTGTTAAAATTTCTGTTTGCCACCATTTTTTAATAGCCAACACTTCTGATTGTTACCATTTTCTGCTAACCAACACTTCTGATAACTAACATTTCTGTTTGCCTCGCTGTTCGCTACCATTTCTGGTATCCAACACTTCTGTTTGTTACTTCTGTTTGTTATTTTTGTTTGTTACCAATTTTCGTTTGCCACTATTTTTTTTGGTTTGCTACCAATTTTTGTTAGCTACAAGTATAAAACCATTTGGAAACACCTTAAAACTAATTTTATCCACAGAGGCACTTTCGGTACTACTACTACTACTGCTTTTTCTTCTTCTTCTCCTTCTTTGTTGGATTCTCCAAGAGACTTCGAGATGTTTCCACTTCTTCTTCGTGATCGTCTTTTTCTCTTTCTCTCTCTCCCTCGAAAAACATCTCGAAGTCCGGAGAAATTTCTTTCGGTGAATAAACATTATTATAACTAGGACATGTGTCTTGAAATTGAAACCCATCCTAATTATAAACCTGGTGACAAGATCGTTGACAATTATACGATCTTTGTAAAGAGGCACTAATTTGTTCTCAAAAACCATCAAATGCCTTTGATCTCATCTTCAGAGTACTGTACATTCTATTTATAAACATATTTCTTAAATCATAATCCGAATAAACATCTAAAAGTATACTTTCAAAAGTGCTCTAAAATAGGTACTTCTAAAAATATTCCAAGTGTTCTGAATGTTGTCTTAAAGTTCTCTAAAAGTCTCTAAAAGTCTCTAAAAGTCTGCAAAAATCTGTAAAAATCTCTAAAAGTCCAAAAGTCTCTAAAAATGTTCTAAACTACTTCTAAACATATCAAATTAATTTACTAAACTGAAGTCCTCTATAGAGGTCCTCTAGGGGTCCTGTATGGTACTCTAAAAGTATTCCACCTGCAAAAATAATTTACAAATATTGCAAATCAGTAAAAATTGATAGAAATGCTTCGAAGGACTTTTCTATTACTGAAATTGCTGAAAAATTTTAGAAATATTGGGTGAATTGAAAGGAGGGGGATGATGATGATAATAATAATTAACAAGTTATAATCTTGTTGAGATTGACTAGAAATCCTTAGCATCAATAACTACCGATCGTTATAGCCATCAGCAATGGGATGATTAGTATGGTGGACGATTAGTAATTGAGGATCATCTTTAACCTGCGAGAGAGAAAGAAAGGGCGAGAGAGAAAGAAAGAGATGTTGGTTAGGGAAACTGTGTCTGGACCTAAAGGCGCCTGTCAGTCAACGAAACCGAGGCATAAGGAAGATGTGCGTGCCTTCGAGATGTATTCCTGGTAGCAGAGGAAAAACACATTAAGAGGAAAAAAACAATAAAGAACGAAAAAAAAAGAATATAAAAGATCAAAACAGAAAAAGAACAAAACGCAGAAAAGAAATAAAACAGAAAGAAGAACAAAACAGAAAAAGTACAAAACAAAAAAAGTACAAAACAAAAAAAGTACAAAACAGAAAGAAGATCAAAACAGAAAAAGTACAAAACAGAAAGAAGATCAAAACAGAAAAAGTACCAAACAGATAAAATACAAAACACAAAAACAATATAAAGCACAAGAGATTAAAAAATAAATAAAAAAAGCAAAATTTAGAAAAGTAGATGAAAATTTAAAAAAAATAAAAAGCTCGAAAAAATAAAAATTATTATTGAAATATATAGGAAAAAAGGAAATGGAAAGCAAAAGAGTAAGAAAGAAGAAAAGGGAGAGATGAAGAGCGACAAGACAAAAAGAAGATCAGCACCCTCCTCCTCTTCTTCTTTTTCCCTCACTCCTTTTATCCCTCCCCCCCACCCCTCCAAGTACATTAGTTGCACGCTGGGTGGCCCTCTATATTTATCTGCGGCTCGATGTTAATTCAAAAGCTCGTTGCAACGTACGACCTATACGTAAACGTTTGCTATGTTGCATTCACTTCGAGAAATATATACGTTCAGGAATTCGACCGTTAAGATTTTACTGGAATCCCGTGAAATACGGGAAAATTATAAGTATCTTATCGAAAGATTTCCCCCTCTGTATTAATTTTTTTTTTCTTTTTTTAAAGAAAATAGCTTTATCAGTAACACTTTTTTTTATATATTCGTTTCTTTCATCTCTTTTTCCCTCTATTGATAAATAATTGACTATATAACTTTTCGAAAATGAACCTAATAGCAAATGAATGTTACCGGCTCAATTTAGAGCCGGTAACTTTCATTTGCTATTAGGTTCATTTTCGGTTATCTTGCCAAGGGAATAAGGAACTTAACGCAAATGTTAGTTTTAGACTTGTTTTATCCACAGTTTTCTTAAAAGTATCAAATTGATACCCAATTGGATCAAAATGATTGCAAAAATTGATAGATACTAAAGTGTATCAGGTTGATACCAAAATTTGGATCAAATAAAAAATTTATCTAAATTTTTGTATCAAATTGATATCTGAATTAAGTAAATATTTGTTTTAATAATAATTAAAGTTATAGTAGTTTTATAATAATTATTTTTACTAAAGTATAAGTCATGAAAGTGAATTAAATGTAAAAATTGTCAATTTTATTTTAAGGTTCATTTTTCTTTGCTCGGGTATGGGAAGATCGACCTTAAAGAAAGTGCGAGTTTTCTCGCTTACCAAGGCAGTATTATCACTATATTATTATTATTTTTATTAGTATTATTATTATTCAGCGAAAATGTGTTACCAAAAAAAAAATGAAACTAAAGGTTTTTTTATTGATGTTTACCGGCTGGACGTGAGAGGATACTAATCGAAGTTGTGCGTGCCTAGATCGGCACCGGATATCCGTGAGGCGACTGGTTCGCGCGAGGATGCGGGCTCCCTGTTCTCTTGCGGGCAAAAATTATTACACTAACTATTATAAAGTATATTTTGTGATCTTGAAAATCGTCTCTCAAGACGAGGCGCTACCTCCACATGTATAACGTACCATCATCTCTTCTTTTATCCACTGGTATTTCCGTCCACTTTCGTCTCAGATTAGCTTTCTCACAGAGTCGAAGATTTATAAAAAAAAAATTTTTTTTTCTACTGCTTGTTATTAGTAGGAAATACAATTTATTATACTCGGAAACAATTTCTTACTGTAAAATTTTGCAGAAGGAACATTTATTTTTCATAACAGCCCATAACTCTGTTGGTACAAAGCAAAAAAATCTGTTTATTTTTTTAGGTTGATTTTTGCTTGATAAGTCACGGGAAAATCGACCTTAAAGCGAAATGATGTTTTAGACATCTCTACTTGAAGTATGTACCAAATTTAGATTATCCTGAGGTTCGAATCTAATATTTTCACCCTATTTCGAATAAAAAACGCCGAAGGAAGAAATTTGAGAGAAAAAAAGGAGAGAAAGATCGAGAAATTTAAATTTTATGAATTTGTGTTCTTGTTTTTCCGCGTGAATCGTCTTTTTCGCTTTATATATACATATATATATATAGAAGGGAGTGGAGATAGCTCAATTTACAAAACACCGCTCACCAGATGTGAATGACACGCGGCGATATCTTTCTCCTTCCTGGACATCCGCATACAAGGCAAGGCCCGACTTCTTGGAGCAATAAGAGTGAACGAGAGAGAAAATGAGAGAGAGATTCAGAGAATGAGGGGGAGGACGGGAGAGTAAGAGTAGCCTCCGATCGCCTTTACCTACACACAAGAGTCGTTGGTCGACAATGTACAGGCCATTCCAGGAACAGCGGACGAACCTTTCCAGCAGGCGCAGCACGCGCTCTTTAGGCATTTCGATTATAAATGGAATTTCGTGAGTCCCAGCGATCCTCATTCTTGTCAAAAAATAAAAAAAAGTAAGAAAGAACAACAATGTTGAACAAAACTTTCGAAAAAGTGGTAAAAACAATCTACACAATGTTTATCGTATCAAACACATACCAAAGGAAACACTTATTTCGCAAAAACAATCGCTTCTGTCTTCAATTTTTTTTCCATTTCAATGGAAAAATAATCTGATTTTCAAAATTAAGGAATTTTCGAAATGGAAAATTTGTACCTATACAAAATATCTCAGACAACTTCAATTTAGATCAAAAACCAAATTTTCTGGAATAAGTATAATATATAATATTATATAATATATTATAATATAATATAATAAAGGTACCGACCTTTTTTTGGGAATTTATTCTTGAAAATATAAGAGGTTTTTGATCTAAATTGAAGTTGTTTAGAAATTTCGTTTGCTAGGTTTATTTTCGCTTGTATGGCTACGGAAAAACAATCCTTAGACAAATTTTAGTTATAAAACGATTTAAATGGTATTAAAAATTTACAAATTTCAACTGTGGGCAAAATATTTAGAAAACCATGGGTAAAAACAAAAATATTTTTAAAATACAAGATTTTATGAAGTTTTAGTTAGGTCCAAATTTATAAAGAACCATGGGCAAAGGGAAGAAAATATTTTAAACCCTAAAAATATTCATTTTTTGTCATAACTAACGATAAAAATAGGTTAAAACCTAAAAATTTATATATTTTGAATGTGGTCAAAATCTAGTGAACCATGACTAACGGCAAAAATATTTTAAAACCTCAAACAATCATATTTAGACCTTGGTCAATGATAAAAATAGTTTAAAGTTTATAATTTTGACTGTGGTCAAAATCTAGTGAACCATGCCAAACGACTAAAATATTTTAAACCGTCAAAATATCTATATTTTGACCATGGTCAATGATAAAAATAGTTTAAAACCTGAAAATTTTTATATTTTGATAGAAAAAATATACGGTCAATATATGTATACGGT